TTATTATTATTATTATTATTATTATTATTATTATTATTATTATTATTATTATTATTATATGCTTTTGTAGAGCAAGGCAGGTATCTTTGCAAAAAATTTCTTAAGCAAATTCCAAATGGCATTACATAATGTATCAAGAAATATTGCATGTTTTAAGTCAAGACAAGTGTTAGGTTAAGGGTTGAGGAAACTTTTCGTACATTGTGAGGTTCTGGGTAATCATTCTAAGTCAGATCCAAACACTGCTGGCACTCCTGTAGTAGATAAATAATTAAGAAAACCCAACAGCATGTGCTAAGTTTTTTGAAGAGTTATAGGATATTAAAGGTGGCATTGTCTGCTGTATTTTAAGTAAACCAAATCCATGAATTCTCTTTGCTTATCCTACAGCATAAACAGACAGACAAACAAAAATCAATTTCCATTGTGTTTAAGCTGAGAAGAAACCATGATATAAACCCAATCTTAAACTGTGATTTAGTATCCTTCATTTTGTGAAGCTGATAATCATAGTTTTCTGCTTCAGGTGCACTGAGAAATGTAGATGAATAGAAGTTTCTGGATTTGATTGCTTGTGTTGCAAAGAGATTGCTTATATTATATGGGCAAAGACCTTGTTTGTGCTTTTTACTAAGAAATTATTTTTTGATTCAGACTATCCTTTCTGTCTTCTGTTTTTCTCCAGCTCTTGGACTGGAGATCCACCATGCCATAGTTGTAGAAAACTTTGATCACGCAGTATTTTAGCTGGTTCATAAAGATTTTTCGTGGAAACTGACAATCATGCTTATTTTGGTCAGTAAGGCTTGCTCGTACAAATACTGCCTTGTTACCCACTTTGAATATGAACTGGTTAACGTTTGAAAATTCCTCCCTTGGTTTTAAATTGTGACTTTGATAGAGAAGGTTGATATAACTGTGGTTTGAATAACATGTGATTTTGACCTGTTCCTGTGGGTTGCAGTGGCACAAGAAATTTGACTCAGTCGAACTGTAATTAGCCTTGCCTGTGTTTTTGAAACAGGATTGGGTTACCTGAATTGCATTAGGGTGGCTTCTATTGTTGCCGCTTAGCATCTGTCCCAGTAGGGTACTTAAAACCTTTCTCTTGGCCAGGGATTGTTCAAACAGTTTATGCAAAAGAAAGTAGGTGCTTTGTACAGTTGGTGACTCTGGTGAGACTAGTGACATTTACTAGTGTAATTTTCCTCTCTTGATTTCAAAAAATGTAAAGCAATCTGTATGGAACTAACATTGAAATAGAATACTTCACCAATTGTGTTAACATTAAAAAGCTGTCATGAGTCAGAACATATGCTGAGTTGCAGACTGCTGTCATTCCTGCATGCGTAAAATTGTAAGCTCTTATGCCAATTGATATGCAAAACCAGGGTGTGTTTTTGTTTTTGTTTGCTTGTTTGTTTTTTTCCAAGTGATCCTTTTCAGCATAAAGAGAGAGGGTTTGCAGAGACTTTTCCTTATGCCTGGCAGAATGTGCAACTTATTTGGCCTGAAGTAACTTTAACACAAAATGATGCCCTTGGTACTATCTGTAAGCAGGCAGAGACCCTGTTGAAATCATGCACATATTATCTACATTTATAGAATTTGGTTTGGGGAATGCCTGATGAACTATTCTTGTCTATAAGGACAAACATGGACCACATTATATATTACTGAAGATTATTTGAAAATTAATGAATGACACCATTCATATATAAGTATTGGCACTCCCTTACAAATGCTGTGAATGTCCACATCCTGGCAGGGGATATATTTGTGTCTTTGTTACTATGCCCTGGATAGGAGATCTGATATCTTCCAGATATTTTGGACTTCACCTCCCCAGAGCATTAATTAGCATGACCATTGGCTAGGGACTGGGGCAGCTGTATGCTTCATGACCACCACTACCCATACATGTGCTAGACATTTCTACAACACATTCTTTTGCTATCGTTTATCTCTTACATTAATTTACAACAACATGAGCTGGAGTTTTGTATCTTAAGCATGAGATTTCTGAACCCCTCTGGTAACTGTTTCTTGATCAGCCTTCTCTGAGCTGGTGACCTCCAGTTGTGTTGGAACTATAGTGAACATAATTCCCAGTCAGCGTGGCCATTGGCCATGGCATTTGAGATTGATGAGATCTTAGTCCCAACATACCTGGAAGGCATCAGATTTTTTTGAAGGTTGCAGAAGACAGGCTGGGAAATGATTGCATTTAAGGGAGCATGCTATGATTGTGTCACGGTCAAAGCTGTTCACATGGATGGGGGGGGCATCTCAAAGGTTTGGTAGTGAATGCAGCTCACGTGTGTGAAGGGGTACCTTTTACCACCACAACTGCAGTCAAAGTGAGTTAAAACCATGTTGTGTATTGTATTGATTTACTTTCCCCACTATAGCTGGAAGTGTAAAAACTGAATCTAGGATTTCCCCCCAATTCATTTAAAAAACAAAACCTGAAAGCTGACAGGAAATATGTGTGTGTTTGTGTGTTCAGACACCCACTCACACACTTAGGGACCCTTTGGTCATGCTATATATATAATTTCCAGCACAAATGCATACATCGAAACAAGGGTGAAATGTCCAGTGATATATTTTAAAGCTTACTGTATCAAAGGTGATTATGTATTAACACAAAAAAATGCTAATAATAGCAGACCATCTCCCCAATCCCACAGGGCTGGTCCCTTGTGCATTTTCTGCTGGTTACGTCATTTGACAGAAGCAATCTTCAGTTTATAGAAAATGCAACAATATGTGACAGAATCTACTTTACAACTGTTATTTAAAGGAGAGATGCTTTTCAGAACAACCCCCCCCCCCCAGCGTTCTATAAAACTGCATGTTATTTCATGAAGATGAGGAAGTGACAGATCTTTAGAGGAAGCATACGTGATGCAAAACAATTTGTTATGCAGCCAATTTCTATTACAAGGGGCACAGTGCATGTTCAACCTAGTTGCAGCAAAAAGAAAAAAAAAAGAAGAGAAAACCACTTCCTGTTACTATATCCCAAACCGATTGAACATTCCAACAGTGACTCCAATTTGAATTTAAAAGGTTTGTAATAAAATTCCTAGGCAGGACTGGAATACATTGTATTTTTATTGCCACACTGGATATTCTTATGACCTAACCTCTTTTCTCCCATATAGTTATTCTAGTTCAATAAATAAAACCTCATTAGACTATTCCCATTTCAATGAGTTTATTAAATTTTACAGGAGCAATTAGCATAAGCTGTGCTAATTTTTCTGGAAGACTAATGAGAGAGCTTCTTAATTAGGTTTGCTTTGTAAAAATCTGAAAACATGATAATGAAAAAAGTCACATAGGGTGCAGTGCAACAGGAAGGAAATGTCTTATTATTTCTTGATTTGTGAAGGATGGTTCTGTATTCTGGCATAGGCTCAAACTTAAGACACACAGCAATAAAAACACCACCACAGCTGACCATTTTTGAAACAGATACTTGGCCAAGTCCCCCCCCCCCTTTCATGGATGACTTAAGTGTGCC